ACAACCTATATGTAGAAATTTCTTACGTACGGCTTTTAATTTAGGAACTATTTTGCTCGCGACTTCGCACGCGTTTTATTTAAAAAACATTAAAAAATATATTATTGCCTATGTTAAGTATGTATGTATGATAACGTATCTTTTTGATGGTGAAAGAATTTTTGATATCAGCCCAGTAGTTTTTGAGTTATTTCAATATACACGAAAAAAAAATCTTTCCTCTCTATTAATTGGTATACCTAGATGTGTTTTTTTGAAGTTTCACTTTTAAAAAGTTTATTTACAAAGTACATCATTTTATTTACGCATGGTATTACTTAATAAATGAAAAAAACGGTATCAATTAAAGAATGACATAATTGCAGGACAACCTGATCAGAGCATACTGGCCGCTTTTAAAACCTTTTATGCAATTGTTTTTACACAAGTGAGTTCATTGCCCTTATAATTGGAGTACTTGAGTACTTATTGAAGTCTTAAAATATGTTTCAGTTTGTCTTGCGACATATATATTTTGGATCCAACTGTGGGAACGATTTTGTACATAATAAAATGCAAAAGTTTAGATGGATCGATGTTTGTTAGAGTTTGTAGCCTAAACGGATTTGTATAAAATTTGGCACAGACATAGAAGATAGTCTAAAAGAACACATAGACTACTCGTTTGTTTTTTTTTAATTCCACGAGCTGTAGTCGCGGATGAAAGCTAGTTAACTATAAATATTACGCGTTTCAATATAGTCTTGTAACAACTAATGAGATTTATTTTTTTTAATTTTTGACGATGATAGAAGATGCTATTGGGCTATTGTGTTTTCACTTATTCTGTGTCAGATAAGATTGTTGGACTGTCGGATTGTTTACTGTGTGTACAGGAAGGCGCATTTCCCCTAACGTACTCGTGGCTGTGGACAGCATTTTTTCGCCGGCCCAATGAACTGACACAACCTGACGTTTGCGCAACATCGTATCTCTTTCTCACGGAATACATGGATTTCGTAATTATTAACGACGTCTAAACTGTATCTATTTGATGGTTACGCCTATGTATTTGTAGTTTTAAAAAAAAACTTGGATCCGGTTCAACCGGATTATATGTTCGGACATATCAGTTGACCTATTTGATTAACTATTTTAGTTTTAATTATATAAAATCTATACTATTATAATAAAGCGTAAACACACACTTCTTTGTTGCCTAAGATGTCATCAATCACAGCATATTTTCGAATAACTCTTTTTTTTTATAAAAAGTCATACACCTTCGTCACACTTTAGGCTAAATTTTAGGCAGGCCGTTAAACATAGGGGTAAATATTTTGGATAAAAACCCTAATGCGGGAAAGAGATCATAAGTTGTTGCCAACATCAAGGAAGCAAGGTTGCCATGGTTTGACATCATGTCATGTCATTTTGACATTTACAATTAATATTTTGACAAATGTGAACAAGAAAATGAAATTTTTATAATTATATGCGGATGAAGTCGCATGGGAACAGCTAGTGTATACATATTACTCTTAAAGTATACGTAGCAATGACATCACAAACTCGTGTAAAATAGAATAATAAAGAAATGAGTTTTATTTTCTACTTCTAATTTTCTTCTAATAAGTTGTTTTATAATCTGCCTTTTAATGCTTCATCTCTATGTTACATATTTTTCTCGTGTGTGTTTACATATAGGTGGTAACGCAATTTGTTGCATACTGAACTCTTTGTCGGTTTGACCTTTCTCCACTAAAATAAAACAACACGCTAAATAGTATTTATTTCATTGCGATATTAGAATGTGTGAGTCCATCAGATTATTGTCTCAATCCCCACAAAGGTCAACAGATCACAAGTTACGTGTGTTAAATGCGTTTATATTTCATTATTCACCATAACTTTATTTTGCGACACTAAATGCCGAAATGTGTTGCGACTTATTAACTTAAGTTATTCAACATTTCAGTATTACCCCACTAGTCAGATAGACATAAAATCTCTCAATCTGTCCCAATCTCTTAAAATGATATTTAAAAATTGGATGAGGAAAATAAAACAAATCAATTTATGCGTTATGTCTAATTTGTTTCTACAATGTACAATCAGCTTCAAAAATCTCTATGCATGGTTCTTCCAATAATATGAATTCGTAGTTGAAAGCACACGGACGGATTTTTAAATTCATATTTTTGAAACCGTATGCGTGTAAAAGTTTCTGAAGGTTTTTAAATGTATATATTTGTGTAGCTGACTGTACAAAAAATATACGCAAATACAAGAATGAACTGACACATTGACCGCGTTCTTCATAAAGGGGGAGTAGAAACGTACGATTTTATTAAGAATTTTAGACGGTACAACTTCATGATTTAGACATCTTGAGGTTAGATTACACAACTAGGCTGTTTTAATTATACATTTTAATAGTAAATTATTCTTTATTTAAACTCTAAAAATGACATAATCAACTAGTATACCATATGTTAGCTCTAAATCAGTGAACTAAAAATTATTTTAATGATAATTATTCACCGTTTTAAATTTAAAATAATACGTTATCCAACATTCGTGTCGAAAAGATTTTCGCGTAAAAATCTTACGGAACGGATTTTAAATTAGTATAAATCGTTGAAAGGTTATCGACTTCTGTAAATACCAGTTATATAAAAGTTTAATTGAAACACGTCACTACATGTTTTAAAAAACTTACTGTGATCTATTACTTAGAAGTCAATGAACTCTATGCTTACGAAATTTTACTGTTTTTAATACTGGTTAATAATTGAGATTAGTTTGGATACCAACTAGAAACACTAGATGGCGTTAGTAGTACTTAATTCTGTGTACCGAACTAGTCTGGAAGATGACTTTTTAAAAAAAGAATTTCTGTAATTTTAAACCATGATCACCGCTCATTAACATCGACTTTATATGCACTAGGAAAGTAGCGTCTAGACAATATTAATCGGCTATGAATACTCGATAGTAAACGGTAGTTTTTGAGTATAAATCGCATAAATATAGAATTTATGATCAATTTATGTTTAAAATTTAATTAGAAAGCTTCAGTTTATGATTATGTAAAAAACTATTAATCTACTGACATTTATTTGTAGTAACAACAGAATAAAATTGGACGTGTGCAAATAGAATTTTTTTCATAACAATCTATTTGTGAGGTTATTTTTTGTCATTAACAAAAGTGACAGCCTTATTTGATCAATGATTCGATGACAGCCTGTTGATGACCGGAAACCTGTCTCAGGCTGATTGATATGGTTACTGGCAAAGACAACGACTACGTGACGTATCGTGGCGTTAATGGAGACGGATGCGTTTTAATTTTTGATACCGGATTTCAATAATGTAATGGTTGTTAGTTATATTTTTAATTAAAAACATAGCTTCTACGAAAAACAACATAAGTAATTTCCCATTGGATTAACAAACTCTATCAACGAACAAAGAGTAATTCCCGCGAAATTTTCTCGATGGAGCTATTATTGTTCAAATTCAATCGTTCATTGTCTTTAAATTGGCTATTCATTTACTCACTGTCTCGTTTATTTCATAACCAATAATCTTTACAACCTTTCGAACCTTATAGTTCTTTTATTCATATCTTTCCGTCAGCAAATAACCCCATTATCTTATTCTTACTGTAAGATACCATGAAAAAACAAATTACATTATACATTGCTACTTAACACAAATTATATATATTTACATTTCATGTATGCAGCAATGTATCAGCAATTAAGCTTTCTCATCACCAATTTAAGACGCGATGAATTGACGTAACATGCGTGACAATGGGCTCCTTACATTGCAGAGGGCGCTGGAGTGCTTTCGTGATAGAATTACAAAGTACACTCAACGTCCTTTTTATGTATGCTGATGACATTGGGTAATATTCTTTGAGTAATTAGGTAATACAGATGTGTATAGAATTAACGATTAGGTTTATTTTGATCTTTTCCTTTTATTACGGTAATAAAAAACAGATTATCAACCTAAACACAAAAGACATTTCTTACCTATTTGTACTTCTGTAGATGAGGAAAAAAGCTATGTTTCTTAGTTCCAGTTATGTTATTGTTATTAAATGTTAAATGTAGAACTATTTATTTACAGTAAAAAGTTTGCAATATGCACTGTTACCTAGAAGTCAATAAAAAAATTAGTTTTCCACGATTTATTGAACCCAACTAGCGTGTGTACTTGTCACGTTTAGTTGCGTGTCAAGTGTACAAAGCAGCCAAAAATATCGACAAGGTCTAGTTGGCCGTTAGTGTACTTCAGTCGGTCGTGTGCCATTTTCATTGCTCTAAGTGTACGCAGCTCGCGTTTGTAGCGCGATGTCCTAGATGGAGTTGCTAGTCTGAATTTTAATACGTTATGTAATGTTAACAAACATTTATGTTTATACATCGTTAATTTTTAATCGTTTAAAATATAATTTGTTTTTATTGCCCGTATAATTACGTTTTACATCTTTTTTGATGACAAATGACAGACACATTCTTATCTTTTGAAATAACGAATTTAATGACGTGAATAAAGTAAAACATTCAGGCAATGATTTTCGTCCAAATATATGAAAGTGGGTTGATACAACAACAATTGTTCTGAACTTTGATCATAATCGTACTATATTGGTACGTAAAAGCTTTTATTAGTTGCTTTACAGCGTCGTAAACAAACAAGGAACGAGCCATTGTGTTCACGCCCTTACATAATATCGAACATTGTGTAGACGTGCGTTACAATGGTCGTAGTAAGTGTTTGAGGTAATAGTCTGTACAAATGCGTTTTGTGTCACACTGTACGCGTGAGTCGAAGCATAATGTGATAGTACAGAACACCTTATACGGTAAACTTACCAAGTACTAACTGTATTTTGGCGCGAAGTATACTTAAGTATCCTTTGAAATAAAATACACTTATACTTGTTGAATGTAGGTTATGTGTATTTAAGACTTTAAAATATAACTTTATTGTTAAATCAGTGGCAGTCAATCCAGTACTTGCCGCGCAAGTCGAACGTGCGTCGTCAGCGGGCCATCCCCGCGAGCACGCCGTTCCCGTGTGCTGACTCGCTGGCGTGGGGCCGCAGTCGCCAGCGGCCGCGCTCCGTGCACCGCCTGCGCCCCGGGGACATCGACGTCGTCGCCGCCATCGGGGACTCCCTCGTCGCGGGCAGCGGAGCCCTAGAGGAGTTCGCACTCGGTGCTATCGTTGAGTACAGGGGCGTATCCTGGTGTGCAGGTATTTATTAATTATATTATTTATATTTATTACTCATTATTTGTTTCATCACATGGCGATCATTATGTATTAGTCACTAGCTTTCGCCCGGGACTCCGTCCGCGTGTTTTTTTTTTAAAAACAAAGTGAGTAGCCTATGGGTTCTTCCACACTATTCTCTACGTCTATAATAAATTTCATCGAAATCCGTTCAGCCGTTTAGGCTACAAACATCCATCCATCTATTTATCTAAACTTTCGCATTTATAATATTAGTATGATTTCTATTAATATACAAAACTCCATCATACGTATTGCAACATTCCAGGGGGCGACAGCACTTGGCGGGAGTTCCTTACGCTGCCTAACATTTTGAAGGAGTACAACCCTGGTCTGCGCGGCTACGCGACCGGCACGGGCGAGTGGCTGGCCCGCAACGCACGCCTCAACGTCGCCTTCCCTGTCGCCTCCGACGAGGATGCCTATAAGCAAGCTAAAGTAAGGCAATTTAATATGACAATGTCAATTATTAAGTAGAGAAAACAAATAGAGTAGAAGATTAATAGAGACAAGGTTTAAGGTCTTGAGTTTAAGCTCTAAAAATGTAGGAAAAATATGTCTAAAAACTGTACTGTTTTAATGCAGTAGACAAATTGTGTAATTCTATAATTGGCCAGTTTATTAGTAATATTAGTAACAGGATGGTTTCACTCGCTGTAAATGTCGACCATTTAATACTGATATGTTGTAAAATTAACTAACTTACATCCTTCAGACGAACCGAATAAAAACTACAATGTGTATATCCTGTTGTCGAAATGCGTTTACATAGTGCGTTGATGTCTATTTAAAAATGTATGGATTTGATAATTATTTTGCCTAGCATTGTTACAAAGACCGATCCTCTGTCAAAAAATGAACCTTTTATGTTTCGCATAGTTATAAAATAACTAGTTTAGCAAAGTATATGACTTTATTTAAAAACAGAACCTAAGTAAATCAAAATATTTGGTAATTTCGTGACGCAATAAATATTTTGAAAGTGACAGAATCTACAAGTCTGTCCGGGAGTGCGGCCCCAAAGTTGTTTACTGCGGCCCTGCCGTGACGTCATATCCTTCACGCGGCTTTCTCTTGCGGTCCATAAACTAAACTAGTTAGTTTAAAATCACCGCGTGTAAGATAAATACTTAACAATAATCACTCACGTCGCTATGGCAACAGGAGCACTTTATCCGAGTGCCTTAAATTAAGATCTTTTTACGATGTTTCGGTGAACGACAACTGAAACGCCAGTACAGCTTATTGACCTCCTTTCGTCCTCCTTTAAACGAAAGAGACAGCATACATAGGTAAGGGGTTAAAGTGACGCGAAGTATTTCGTCTTTCCTCACCATAACTATAGGTTTCTTTCCACTAGAATAGACAGTAAGATGTAATTTTCTCAACTTAGCCGTATTAAACTTGTAAGTGGGTAATTGCACGTATCATATAATGTCTTATTAAATCTGACCTCACGCCTAATTTTTGAAGCGTGAATAAAATTTTCCACGCGCAGTTTTACGTGGCGCAAGTAACGTCGTCCATTGCACAGTTGCCAAAACAAGAAGATTTGTTAACTATTTTAATATATTATTGTCGTATTGCTTCTAACGTCTGTAAATTCAAAAAAATGTGAACAGTTTTGAGTTCGTTGCAATTCGTAGCTTCAACATTTTAATATTCGGCCAAAGTCATATAAATAACTTCTCTACCACAGCGAAATTTACAGTCTATCTGCCGTTTTAATTGTTAATTGGCCAGCAAGTTTATTTCTTAGTTGAATTGCTCATACTAAATCTTTACTAAGAGAAACCACTTATTAAGCCGTAGAAACATTATCAAAGTTCCTTACTTTCATGTACCAATTTGCAGATATTGGTGGCGCGCATGCGTGCGTCGCCCGACATCAACATGGAGCAGGACTGGAAGATGGTGACAGTGTTCATAGGCGCCAACGACCTGTGCTCGGCCTCTTGCCTCTCGCCCGTGGCCTGGTCGCCCGCCGCGCACGCGCGCAAGCTCGCACGAGCACTCGACTACTTCTACGACCACATGCCCAGGACTATTGTCAATCTTATACCAGTACTAGGTGAATATACACTTTTTTATATCATAGTGTAGGAAACTAGCTAGCAACCACTTGAATTCACCTAAAAGGCTAAGCGACCGCTACTTAAAGACATCTGCAATAGCGGATGCGTTGCCTACCCTTAATTGACGGGGGAAGAGACGAATCGTGGAATTGCTCCCACTTTACTCCTGTCTTCTGTGTGGCTGTTGTTTTGCGTGGAGCAAGCCGGCCCATTCATGCGATTATGTTAAGGCGGGCTCTTTCACTGTCAAAGATTTTAACATATAGAGTATTTTGAGGACTATCAATATCATAAAATAATTTGTAACAGAAATAAGGGCAATAGATACTTTTTGTTAAGAGAAATCTTAAAGGCTTTAGTGAATTGCCCGTAATGTTGGAAACAACATTTTAGTCCGGTTGTGACTTCATTTCCTGGTGTAATGCGACGTGATTGTCCCCGGAGCAGACGTGTCGGTGTCGGTGCGCGTGGTGCGGCCGCTGATGTGCCGGCTGATGCACTCGCTGTTCTGCACCTGCTTCCACCGCGGCGGCGGCGAGCTGGCCGACCTCGTGCACATGGCCAGGCTCTACCAGAAGGCTGAAGTCGCACTGGTCAGTAAACATATTTAAACTAGGGTTGTAACGGCCATTGTAACGAAAGCGGAGGGGGAAGTATATAAGATATTAATTGTGATTGGTTAAAGATATAACTTTAGTTCCTTTTCCTACCCACCCTTTTCCTTATAAGACAAGGATGGGAAGGGAACGTGAATTTGACGGTGGAGGAGACGCATAGGAAAGGGAAACACCATTTTATGTGCGTCTCCTCTTTCGTCACTTAAGGGTAGGCAACGCATTCGCTATTGCGAATGTCTATGGGCAGCGGTCGCTTCGTCAGTTTTACGGATTCTGGTGGCCGCTTGCTCCTTTAGCCACCTTATGATATAAAAAAAAATAAAACTACGTGTATTCAAAATACAGATTGTTATAAAGACCAAAAAAGTGACTAGATCAGATCAATTCATGTTAGGTTCATTGAGTATACTGGAGCTTAGAATAAGCGCCACTGCATATAGAACTGTATGGCACAGTGTTACGGTCGGTATTCAGGTGGAGAGCGGGCGCTACGACGGGCGCGAGGACTTCACAGTGGTGGTGCAGCCCTTCATGCGGCTGTTCAACGCGCCGGCCGCGCTGACCGCGCCGCGCGCCCCGCTGCCGCTCGTCATACACCGCTCCTACATCACGCACGACTGCTTCCACTTCTCGCAGAAGGGACACGCGCTCGGTAACTCCTCGCGATAACAACTCTGTCTGATATATTAAGACCAACATTGTTTAAAACTACCAAAGTCACACAGGATAGCAATTATGACAAAACTCATTTACTCACAAAAACCATGATTATGGCTGTACTCTCTTTAGTGAGGGATTCTTTTGACAACGCATCCAAAATTTGTTGCAATCCGCAGGGCGCTTTGCTATAACAACAAATACATACATGCGGCCTCGTAGTCCTTTGCCACTGTAGATGTTTTTTAATTTACTAATATTTTTCTTAAAATTCCAATATTCTAGGCTTGTGTTGTGTTTTACGACAATAGTCGAATGGCAGGATTCGAACCCTCGACCAAACCTCTACCTCTAGCCTAGGCTGTTGTCGCTTATCTATCGCAATATAGTTGAGCTCACCAATATTTTCAGCTGCGAACTTGCTGTGGAACAACCTGCTGGAGCCGGTGGGCAACAAGTCGGACAACGTGCCGCCCGTGCTGCTGAAGTCGTTCCGCTGCCCCTCGCCGCGCGCGCCCTTCCTCTTCACCGCCAACAACTCGCGCGCCTTCCTGCGCTCCGGCCGCCAGGACGGCGCTGACCTCTTATGACGGAACCATATTTTAGAACACAAAATGCATAAACGCCATCTAGTTTAAATTATTGTGAACTACAAATTAATTTACTACTTTAGTATGATGGATGTTTCCTGTTGGACCGATCAATACGAATGATGAGGTTTTTTCCCGTTGGACCGATTAATTGTATGAATTCGATCGGCACAGTAGGAAATACCTGACAGTCAAAAAATTGACAGTCAAAGAATTATACATAGAAGTGATTCAAGGAAACAACTGCTATTAGATTTCAATTTCTTGTTTTGTTGTTATTGATAAATGTTTAAAAATTTAATTATGTTAATATCAAAATTAACGCTCGTATTATGAATTGTAAGGTAATTAAATTAAGATGTTATTGATAATATTTACTAATATATAAATTCTAGTGTAATTATAAAAATAGTATTTAAAATTTACCAAATACTGAATATAGTTTAGTTACAATTTCAAGAAATCAAAATTACTTGAATTACTGTTAAAGATAAAAATTATACAAATTTGCTCAATTTACTAGTCCTAATTTGGATGTTTCCCATTGCACCGATCAGTCTATACAATCGTCCCAATAGGAAAACAATCCCAATATGACGATCGGTCCAACGGGAAACATCCTATAATTCTAATATAGAAAAATATCCTCCTGTATCTATCGCTATTGCCGAACAATTCACAAAAAAAATAATAGAAAAAAGAGTTTATCTCGTAAAGTGGAATGATCAAGTAAAACCATATTGTTGTGATTGTAGTTAGTAACAGGGAAATACCTCATTATTATTAAGGTTTTCAAACAATAAAACACAATTTAACAAAGTATTTTTGTACTCAATTGCGTTATTCTTTTTGTCCATAAATAATAAAAATGTTATTTTTAAACATTTCTGTATTTTTTTTATAAAACCATTTGTGTTGATAAAATGTAATTTTAAAATTTTCTAGTAAGTAATAGTTAATGAAATCCTTAGTTTTATTAGTGCCATTAATATTTGTTATAAAATGTTAACCTGTGAACTTATGTATATTTTTATAAATAAATGTATTTTGTTATTTATTTCTGTTTATATTTTGACACTAAACATCAAATTGCATACCAATATAATAATGATCACGCTTATAACGCTAAACAATCAAAAAATATTAAATACCACATCGACATTCTTTTATGACTAGAATTAATAGATTTTTCTCAAGACACATTGAATCTACTCCTGCTAAATATAAATAGCAAAAATTTAAATAGTGTTTTTTCAAAGAAAAGGCGAGTCTCATGTACATGGTTATGCATACTGAGCACTGTGTGAAATTTATTTAAAAAATAATAATAAAAACATCTTTAGTGCCAACCAAGAATATACACAGAGTTGTACAAAATAAAAAAAACTTACATGAAAAAATTGTAACAGATGGCAAAAGGGGGAGGCTTAGCTAAACCGATACTGGTTGAGATCCAGTGTCGAGCTGGTTTTCAGCCACCCCCCCTTCCCAGGATGTAAAAGGGAGCGTAGATAGTCGGAGGTCGCTGTACACTAGTAATAAAATAAGCTTAATAACCATAACAGATTTATCAATCTAAAGAGAAAAAAAATAATTAGCGGCAAATGGCAACTCAGATAAAATAATTTACAATGTTTATGCACTTATTGATCTAATTTATTCGAACGCAATCGTTATAATGTTAAAATTTGATGATTTAAATATTGGTTGTTTGGATTCAAAGAACGCAGACGATAGATGTCGCTATCTTCGCATGATTCAAGGTACGGTCGTGGCCGTTCTCCGTGTCGGGATAGCATTTGGGTGTTTTTGTCTACATGCACACGACATACCAGTCAAACAATGCGATGTGATTTCACGGCTCGTTTGCCGCGCCCGAGCCCGGCCCATGTCTGGATGAGCTATGATCTATTAATGTAACATTTGAACAAAGTCCATAATGTTACTATAACAACAAACATTCTCTGAAATAACGCGTGTCGATTGATTTAGTAGAAATGTAATATTTGCCATCAGTCCTTTTTAAATGTTTTATATACGAGAGTGCGAAAAACATTTTTTCCCACATTACAGAAAACGAGAAAATAGTTTTATCATAGTTGTTATAATTACTAACGAGACCTTTTTTATCTCTATTTACGGTGTTTAACCTTATGCTGACGTTTTTCAAACTTGAACCGATCTTATTTACCAAATAGACAAAAAGGGAAATCACTACCTTTTATTATGAAAAAATGACTACATTAATGTAATACTAGATTCAAGACATTCAATATTTCAGTTAGGTTTTAAAAGTAGCGTCGAGTGGCAAATATATATCCCTAAAGGAACTGGCGAGATTGGTATTATAGAGATTAAGATTACTAGCTCGTACCATCTTTCGAGTGCATCGTCACCTCCTTCAGGTGGGATCGTGGTCAAGCGCTAGCTTAACAAATAATAAAAAAAGAGAGATATTTAAAAAATGCTGGGAGCAATAATATCAGAATATAGTTACTATTTTCGTTTAACACTCTCAGTATTAAAATTAAATATTATTACGTGAAGATAAATAGTTTTGTGCTAAATATAAAACCATTTCAATCGACCTAAACAATCTGTAATTAGATGAATCATAGAGAATAACATCTAGCAGAAATATAACTTCTACTGCTATAGTTTTAGAAGACACAATCGCTTGTATAGCAAGCCATATGGTCTTAGTACTAATTAAGTATAGTAAAGTCAATCGATAGTCCGCATATGGCCGCTGGCGGCGCTCCTCAAGTGCAAGGAACCAATTGCCTTCAATTGATTTGCAGACTGATCGCTGGTAATCCATTGTTATCCAATCAGTAGATATCTGAGATGAAACAATATAATGTATGGATGAAAATTGACTCTACACTCTACTATCAGTACCTTTACATCATACTAATATTATAAATGCGAAAGTTTAGATGGGTGGATGTTTGTTGGAGTTTGTAGTCTAAACTGCTGAACGGATCTTGATGAAATTTCGCATAGATATGGAAGATACTCTGGAAAAATACATAGGACACTTTGTTATGCTTATAATCATACTTTTTTCTTTATATTTCGCATCAAACAGTTAAAAAATGCTTTACACATTGTGTTGTTCCCGTAAGTTGTTAAACATAATTTTATGTAGAATACATGTCCGGTAATAAACACAGAGAGAGTTAAAATCGATACGTCCCACAACAAACAGCGAAGTTCAAGGTCCCCCAGATGTCTACATCCCTTCGGTATATACATCTCAACTCCTAATGTAAGGGTGGCCATGAACAAAACGAAACCTAACAAGTAGAGCGTGCTTGTTGCGAAGCTTTTGTTTTAATAAATGCATACTTAATTGATTCCTATTTTACTTTGGAATACATAAAGCTTGTAATCAGATAATTATATTAAAAGGAACAAAAGTAGTTAACTTATCAAATTAAGTTTAAACCTTTCTAAACTAAATTAAAGAAATCACGAACACGACATATTTAGGTTAAAAATGACATCAAGTTATAATCTTTTAAAACTAGGTTATGAAATAAATCGTTACTCGCAACTACAAAAATTAAATTTATTTAACTTTACTCTTAATACAAATATGCTTTAATAAAACAAAAACCTCTCAAAGTTTTAAACTAAAAATAAGACGAGTGAAATATGAGAAGCAAAATGTAACACAAACATTGTGTTAACTCGTTGTCTTTCTGTAAGATTTACTTTCTTATTAATTTAATTTTAGATGTGTTCAGTTTGCAGTTAGTCATGAAAATTGTTTAGTCACTCACAGGAGCCATGTTACGGGCTCCTTAGGATGTTCCAGTACGCGCGCATTCGAGGCCTTATTCTGGCTAGCAAAAAGCAATATCGCATTTATCGTGATTGAAATTATTGTATACGAATAAATTTACTTTTCTTATATCAAACTAAATAAAACAGAACATCAACAACGTGATATCAGTGATTTAATTTATGAAAAACAATAATAGTTATAAAATATTGCAGTATTTTTTGTTGGTCTGTCAATTAGTATTTTTTGTTTTCTTCACTAAAATACCTAGAAGTAGTTAAATAATTTGAAAAAAATGTTATTTAGATCATTATTGCAATACAAGGTATAATGTAATGTTTAAAATTAATAATGGATGACGATGAAATTTAACTGACTATTGTTCTTATACAGATCGAATCAAACAAAATAACATTTTTTCAAGTAAAAAAAAAAATCAAACCTTTTAACATATTTTTTAGTTAAACATTACGATGTAACAGCTATATCGCTGAGATGAACCAGAATAATCAGCGATGGTTATAAAAGCAGGCGTAATGCCGGCGGGCGTACAGTCGGGCCCGGTGCGTTGCCTAGCGAACCCGCCAAGCCACTTCTTCACTCTTCCTCACAAGGAATACATAATCCAGACAAAATGGTAAGTCACGTCCGCATATTCCAGAAGCTTCCGTTTCGTTGATTCCAAAAAAAATGTGAAATTACAATTTCAGCGCGCGGAAGTTTCGGGTGAACTTTTACAATTCATAAGTTTTTCAGCAACTTTTGTCCTATAAATAATTCTTACAAGTTAATTTCGTATTCAGTGTTTTTTGTAAGCTAACATTAAAATAAAATTAAAACTTTTAACTAAAATTATTTATATAAAATGTTTTATTTGATATTTTAAGTATCTCTACATTTCTTTTATTAATATATTTAAACCAAGCTTGAATTTTAATTTTAGGAAAACACTATCATAAAATCTATCCACATAACCATCATATTTGCATTTCACATATGCACATATTACGATTAAAAGTAGTCCCCTGGTCACTATATGTAAGATCGCATGGGGGCGAATAGTGTTTAAAGTAGGGTGAAAGCAGGCATCCTAGATAGCAACCCTCGTTTCACCCACTCTTACAATCCCTACATTATTGCAAAAGAGGTCTAAAGAAATGTCTTTCAAAACACGTCGCTTGTTTTCTAAACAAAAAACTCGCAACGCGTTCTATTTTCAAATTCTATGCACATTTTTTAAATACGTTTTTTTTCCGTTGCCTGAAAATATTTGTTGGATGTTGTTGAAAAAATCAAGCATCATTATTTAAAATTAAACGATAATCTAAATAAATGTCCTAGGCAGCGGTCTAGAAACTTAGGTATATTTATTAATATTATGCCTTAATTAAAATTCAGTATAAATAAGAAACTTCTTGTAGTGTAATAATGCGTTATATTCACGTATACTGGAAGTTTTAATTAAAATAAAATATTGGTTTCAGCGGTTTATCATGAGATCATATGTTTATTAATTATCGAACAATAGTGTATTTAACTAGATCGAAACAAACGATATTAAATTGCCCCCGTTGCGTAAGCTAACACACAATCCGTGCTGCGGTTTGTTTGCGGTTTTCTTGCGGATTTATTTCGATATCTTATTTTGTTTCTCCACCACAAGCGCATGGTTAGGAAATTAAGTTAACAACTGTGTTAACACAGCAACTGCTATATTACGTTGTTTAGTTGTAGATGAAAACAGGGATCGTTTAAATTTTAAAGGGGAAGTTATAACCTAAAAAACTATAAGCCCGGACATCTCGAGGGTTTCTAGCGACATGACGTTGGTAAACAATGATGATATTGTTGTCAAAAAGCTAGATAATGCTGTATTTAATGCCATGCATTTTTTTTCATATTTACTGCTAAAGAAAACGTTTTTTCAATAATTTGAAAAGCAAGTTATGTAGACAAATAACATGATAAATTATAATAACTAACTTTGATGTCTACATGAGAAGTTAAAAACATCGTACTTAATAAAATATCAGTTTAAAACGGTTTTTTTTAATTGAAACAATTAAGTGTGGTTTAGACATGAACGCGTCAATAAGTCCACCTTGAACCGCTGCAGTACAAATGTATCGTTTACAATTTATTGGCGCGCTGTCTACAATTAAATGCAATAGCCGGCTTGTTGAGATGTAACACCTTTATTAGAACTGTCAATATTCATTGTTATTTATGATGTTATTTTAGCCTCAGAGAATCTCATAAGACTCCATAAAACTAAAAATGATATTTCACACACAGAGTCTTTTGTCGTAAATAATTAACAACGGATTATAAAAGAGTGGATGAAGGCGTTACTTTTTTAAAATTACAATCCAAGTATAGACAAACAAAGCTTGAATTATTAATTGTAATGCATTCCATGTTATTATAGACCTTTATTAGCATATGCACGACACGACACTGGGCGTTCATCACTCGCATGCAATGAAGGTATATGCATGCGACGCATTGTCTATCAGGGATTTTTACATTTGTTGTCATTTATTTTTAGATTTATTTTACGCTAGTGACATGTGAAATAATTATATTTAACATTAACTACATGAAATTACTTTAAAAGCAATATTCCAATTTATCTCGTTCATCTTCTTGAAAAGTTAGTTCAGAAACTTACAGGAAAAAGAAAATTCAAACTGAACTTTGATTAAATAAAACAGACGGAGTAGATAAAGCCTACACAAACTTTAAAAGTTTTTCAATCAAACATCCTATTTGCTATTGAGGAATTCTTAACAAAGTTAATTTAGTTGTAAGTTTTGTTTTCTAAGTAATTTACAGTTTGTAACAAAGTGCATAACACACGCATGGTGTTAGACCGGTAATAGGCCCTATTAAGTGTTGCACGCACTATGAACGCTATTTAAAGTTACTGCAAATCAAATGTTAATTAAGTTAATTAAAAATGGCAACACATGGTCTGAGTGAATTAGAAAAATGTTGAAGACCTTAATTATTGCAAACGATTCAAAGACATGGTTGTGAACTAAATTAAAAGAAAACTAATTAGAGTGCGTTTTAGTTAATATAAATAACGGCAACGAGTTATAACTTATTATTTATTGTTAAAAAAAATAAAAATTACGGCCACCATTGGGTGGTAGAGGTTCAGATAGCTTAAAAATGACGTCACTGTCAGATAAGGGAACAAAATCCGATATTTTGATCACATATTTTATACGTTGGATTTACAGATAATTTACATTTTGGTTAGCCAGGCCCTTACTATCATAGTATAATTATATACCAGGTTTCCTATAGTAAATAATAATGTAACAAAAATATTAAAAATAAGTGTAACATTGTAACACTCTTGTTCATGACTGTACATTTCATGAATCATTACATCGGACTCTGTTAAGATTCCCAACAAACGAGTGCATCGCATTATACAGTGCGGTGTTTGTTTTAAATACAGAACATCTATTTATGGTTAACATGAAGGAAAAGAGAGATCCTTGAGACATTTCCTTATCAAACCAATAGGTACATAAATCCAGATAATCAAAAAAAATGACCAGTTAATTATAACAAAATTATACAATCTTTTAATATTAAATTGCTACCAAACCTATATTTGACATGTAATAACGTTTAAAGGTGACATTAGTCTAATTAAAAAGTAAACTTAACGACACACCCTGTGGGATCAACGACCTTCGCTAATTCGATAGCAAAAGTCACGCATTGACTCGCCTTATTTCTGGGAAATGAAAATTTTCTGTTTAATTACCTACTATCTGTTGTTTTTGTTATAAAAGGCAAAGACTATAGAGTATAGACTTTTATTTTTCAAAACTGTACTTTTTAAATTTACTAATTAAACATTCATCCCGTTTTACATGACATATTTTTAACACCAACTGGTTTATCGTGACCCGTTAATTTTATGAACTCTTGTCTGTTTAATAAAAGATGTTTCAGTCAGTTTATGAAAGCATGAATCACAATTTCAAGAATCGTGCTCCGACCAGCGCCAGAAACAAAACAACTCCTAATCCATGCTAATACTGCGGAACATGTCCGCTAAAGGAAATCCATTTGAACATTTAATTTGACTCTGTTTATAAATACAGTGGCAGGATATTTGGACATCTGACATTCAATAATTACTTAAATAGACCCTTAGTAGATTTAAAACTGCGGACTTCGCTAAAAGATCCGTTTAGTACGGATAAATAATTGTACTTTTTCTGTATTATCTATACTTAATATTTAGTGTACAAAGTAATATAATCCAGTGTGTATAGATTCAGCTGTTTGAATCACGTGCAGGCGCGCCGGATGACGTCACCATTCCTCGTCCTCCCCTCCCTTCCCACGGGTAGGGGTCTGGAGAGCTCATGTAAAAGTACACTATACCCATTACCTAAATACCACACCTTTCCTATTGATTAAATGTGATCAGAATTAAATTCTTACTTTTAAATAATTCTGAAAAGTAACATTGACAAAACTACGGCTAATTGTGGCATAAAACAGTTTTGGCTGCAAGCCAACGGAATTACACATTCATTTTGTGGTAGATCTGGAACATGATAGGGGGGGAGGGGATAGCGCACTGCGCAAATCTTCAAAAGCATTAAATCGAAAATCCTATTGCAGTCAGACAATGCAGATTGAATTGCTTATGATGTTTGTGCATGCTTCTGAATTTTGAAGCTGTTTAGACAGTATTGAGTCCGATGTTGCCGTAATTCTGTACGAGACTTTTTGAATTTGAAAATGATTCAAACTCTACCGTCTTGTCTATTGCAAATACGTCGAAGTATAGAATTGATGACCTTTTTGTTAACATTCAAACAAACAAATTAAAGTCTAACAACAATCCGTTTGAAACTAATTGTCTATCTCCCATTCGTCGCCATCTTGTTTTCAGTTTTTTGTTTGGCGCCAAACGCACGAGGTCAATGACCCCCTGCGCGCCTTCATCATGGTTACCTGTAATCATGTAACAATCAACTTCACAGATTGCCCTCCTCGTAATATTATTACTGTTCTGTAATAGCTCGCGCGATCTCATTACATTTTTTATAAAGAAGCGAAAATAGCGATAATGCTATAGTTTAGTTATACCATCCGTCTTATACAGCGAAGCTTATCTTTAGTAAGATTATAAAACTTTGTTTTTATAATGTTTCTCATAGATATTGAAAAAAATTAACCAACTTTTTAGCACTTGAATTTCTTAACTAAATAAACTGTAATTAAAGCGTTAACAATAGTTAAATGTTTACAGTGAAAAGGAAAAATAATCACAAGGAAACGTAAAAAAGGCTTCCCACCAACTCTACACCCTTTCGTAATAACAAAGAAAGAGATACTTCCTACATAATTTCGCGAATCCTGTAATTCTAAACCAACCCCTTGTTGACTAAAAAAAGTTCCTTCCCCATCGGAAGTCTCTACTAAGGTCTCTTTGAGCTTGTTAAAGCTCCGGTCGTCTGCGTCATCAACGTTAATTACAGCTTTCTGAAAGCTTTCAAATGAATCAATATCGAATTCACTTTGAACATTTTTCTATGTTATTTTATTAATTAGATTAAAAAAAAAAAAACAAAGAGTAGAAAGTGTGTTTGAGAATGATGCATTATTTTTTTTCTAGTTTTAGTTTCTACTCTATAAAAAAATCCCTTAAAAGTCCAATAAAAATGTTGCTATCTGTCTATTTTAAAAACTAAATTAAATTTTGAATACACAATAGCACGTAAATCTGTATTTTCAGAATTAATGGTTTTCTAATGAGAATCAGTTTATTTCATTGTTGCACGAATACAGATAAAAAAAACACGGTCGGCACAGCTTGGTACCGCTTCTGAACGTAACTATCAATCACCCTATATAGATTGGGGTGAATAAAGCCTATTAATTTGTATTCTTTCTGAAGGATTCGTTAAAAAAGGAACTGTTAGTTTAAAAAAAAGATTTCAATTTTTCTTACGAAAACATAATCCTCTTTTTTACACAAAGACTTACAATCATAGAGCCACATTTTAAATGTAAAATTCTCCTTACAAATTACATTTGTTTCATTGTTAATTGGAACAAAAACTTTTAATTATTATCCCTAAAATGGTTTGTATTTAAACCAAAACTTTTTGGTCAACGTTGCTTCTCAATAAGGTGTGTCTTTAATTGGCATTACGACTTTAAAATGTCAAAGCGAGTATATTTAATTCCAAACTCCCACACTGGTAATAACTGTAAGACGTAATTGTTTAACGAGCGACAAATTTATAGTAATTCAGTTCAGAGCTATTACAATCGAATTAGTGTTTTAAACGAGAATAGTGGACGACAGTGGGAGTTTAATCGATCTAAATTCGTGTATCGAATAACATACACCTACTAAACAATCGACGATGCAACATTTACCTCCGATTAAAGATAAACGCTTATTTAAGTTTAAATCTTTACATCCCTTTTGAGCAGAATAAAAACAATAGCACTAAGAAAATAACTGAATATGAGTAATAAGAGAATAGTGCCTATATTTATGAATTACATAATCTTGCTAGCATTATAAATGCGAAAGTTTAGATGAATGTATGGATGTTTGTTAGAGTTTGTAGCCTAAACGGCAGAACGCATCCCGATGAAATTTGGCATAGATGTAGAGTATAGTTTGGAAGAACACATAGGCTACTTACTTTAGTTTTTTTTCATTCCACGCGAACGGAGTCGCGGGCAAAAGCTAGTGTAACTATGTAAAGGAATCATCGTCAGACATATTGAATAATTTAAATTCATGAAACATATCGTAGATAGAATGGAAATCGCTTTTAGCGTGCCTGTAGAGTATAACCCTCTGTTAGTTTTACCACGTAATTGGGATTTCCAATCCAATATCTTTTATCAAAAAAGGGTTTCCATATCAAAGTCGATGATCAAAGTACCAATTGAAATGCAAAATTATCTTGCGTTTTTTGTTACTTGATTTTAGAGTTATTTACTTATTATTTCAGGTTAAAATTACACTCCCACATACATCCTCTATGAAAAACCTGATCTCTGCTACCTAATTACTTCGTTAAACTTATACGGTAGATACCTCATTTATAGTACGTCCTTTGAACAAAATGATTTGCTTAAAATGGTCATATTAATTCACTTAAGAAGTATCAGTAAATTTATTACAACGCCAAAAATATTAAGGAACATCAACAAACATCATATTAAATCATTAAAAGGTTAGTTTTTATAAGCAATTAAATCTACACAATACACGATATAAACACATTTATACATTATAACTAGCGTGAATGTAAAAGCTTACGATATTCTTGCTGGTCACGCTGAGTTGACAAAAACCGTAAACCGATGGATTCCACTGACAAATGTATCATTGTTCGTAAACTCAGGTAATAATTAACTTATTGTGAAACTAATGGAACTTCATTATTTACCACAATACCAACCAATACAATACGTTTTCATATTATTTTTTGTTATAGTTAGAAATTTTAGATTATAGAAAAAATTATAGGAGTTGGTAAACATTTAGATGCTCGGATAATAACGTTAGTATATTGTAGATATCTAAATTTTTTAAAGACACATTAGTTAAAGATCAGAAGAGTTAGGAAAGAGATACAGAACAGAAGAGCACGTGTGGATTATTAATGCAACCTTCTTTGTTTCTCTACAAGTTAATTTATTCCTTCTAGATGACAATTATAAGAATCATACTAATCTACCATGTTGTCTGTAGAGGGAATGCATCTCAGTTCACATCGGTCAAGCCGGAGTGCAGATCGGCAACGCGTGCTGGGAGCTGTACTGCTTGGAGCATGGCATCCAGCCCGATGGCCAGATGCCGACTGACAAAACTCTGGGCGGCGGCGACGACTCCTTCAACACCTTCTTTAGCGAGACCGGTGCTGGCAAGCACGTGCCTCGCGCAGTCTTTGTCGACCTTGAACCCACTGTTGTTGGTACGTAATAAAACTCCGTTTTAAGGTAACCGGTTCCACTTTCATTTGTTTTCAAACTTTAGAAACCAGCTAATGGCATTGCAACAGATTTAACTGAGTTATTGTTTCAAATTGGTACAGTACTTAAATATACACTAAAGTAAATAATACAAATTGAAAGTAATTTATCAATGAATTCGGTACACGACAGTTTTTTGCGGTTGTAATTTATTAAATTTCGCCAGCAATGCGGGCAGACGGTCGACATCGATGTCGCGGCGCGCCGTCCCGCCCGCCGAAACTTGGCACAGCATGCTAATAATGAAATAGGCAGCGTTACGAATATCTGTAATATTTATTCACAAACGCTTTAACTCGTAAAGAAGGACCTTAGCAGTTATTTATCGACAACGTTGAAATTCTGCTCCTGATTAATGTCTCTCCATTTAATTTACTATTGCGTAAGTCTATTGCGTAGACTTAGCATCTTAGAGTTCACTAAGGCAAAGCGTAAATGATAAGTAGCTACTCTGAGTGCGGCATTACTGTAATTTTGTAATAATTACTTTAAATAGTTTTTACTGTAGCGAAAGTTTATTGTTCAAGTAAGTCAATCGTTGGGATACATTAAAAAGTTTCTTAACTCAATCTGATTGCAAAAGAAATTAAATTTCTGCGGATTTACTTGCTGACCATATCGGGATATCAATCTCCATAAAGTAAATGCTCAAGAAAGTTGCCGTCATCAATGATATAGGACCCAACCATATAAATGTTCGGAAAAACTGGTTTTTGAGAAAGGCGAATACAGTTATTCGCAAAACTTTTTATTTCAATTTATTACTTGTCAGTAACATAATATAATTTACCAGAGCGAGATCAACTTAATGTTTTATATGAGAAAGACTTTGAATGAAGGAAATAGTTATGTATGTCCGAGTACTGAAGCGTAGCCATAATTCATTAAAGCGTGACTTAGCTACTCTTGCCATCGCTATCACATTCTAAGCTAAGGTAAAAGTAACATAATACGATTTAGTTTACGAAATAGAAATATGGTCTGATCACACAGTTCTCATGTACCGATTTATTATTCCGTCATCCATCATATTAACCTGTATAACAACTTATCTTCTAAAAAAAAACGAAAGTTATTCTACATCTTAAGTGTAAACAGAAAACAAAAGTTTATAAAATATTCAAATATTTAAAGGTGCCATGACCTTTAACAAAGAATAACGTATATTTGGTCTGTCTTAAATGATATAAATCTAAATAAACATTTCATTGCATAAAGTAATCACAACGTGTGTAAGATTTTAATTCTAATTGACAAAGGGAGTGTTGTCACTTGTCAGTGCATTCCTTTGGCTTTGCGATCCAGACGCATAATAAAAACAGATGGCGCTTCATTAGCGAATATGGACGAAACGCTTGGCCCTTGTCGCGTCGCACATTGGGCTGAATCAAGTTGCTCCATAGACAACTTTATCTGATGTTTGAAATGTCTCTTTTTTTTGCTTAAATGTGCTTTGTAT